TGGCCTGCTGTGTTCATCCAGCTCTACACCTTGTTATCTCTGATAATAAGGCCTGGTGTGTTGGGGCTGGGGTTCGGACATGGGAGAAGGTGTTTCAAGCCCTAAAATTGTTGAACTCGATATTGAGTTCAGAAGGCTGTAGAGTCCCCAAGCAGAAAATGAGGTGCTGTTTTTCCAGCTTGTGTTAAGCTGCACTGGAGCTCTGCAGCAAACCTGAGACAGAGATCTTGGCCAGGGAACACACGTTCTGTCCACAAAAAAGACCCTGAGCTTCCAGTTGCCTGATACTTCAACACACCCACCATGTTCCCTGGCCAACATCTAGACCAATAATTTTAGGGCTTCAGACACCTTCTCCAATATCATTAACGCAGCCCCCACATACCAGGCTTTGTTTTCACACGGTATGCTTTTATACACAACCCATTGTTAGCCGCCTATTATCTACTCCTTACCCCAACCCCACCACCCCACCTTCTGCATTAAATAAATCATCATTTTCTTGGCTACCATCAGTTCTGAGGAAGGATCACTCATCCTGAAACATTAACTCTGATTTCTCTCCACAGATGCTGCCAGACCTGCTGAGCTTTAGTTAGTCACACCTTTTCTCTGTCCAAATGTTCTCTCTCTTTGGGCTCTTCCTCCACCTATCATTTATTTCTAAATCCTTCCTCCCACTTCAACCCTATCTTCTGCAGACCTGCGGAGGAAACTCACTCAGTTGATTCCAGAGTTGAGAGGGTTGGATTATGAGGAGAGACTGAGTAGACTGGGATTATACTCATTGGAATTCAGAAGAATGAGGGGAGATCTTATAGAAACATATAAGATTATGAAGGGAATAGATAAGGTGGAGGCAGGGAGGTTGTTTCCGCTAGCAGGTGAAACTAGGACTAGAGGGCATTGCCTCAAAATAAAGGGAAGCAGATGTAGGACTGAGGTCAGGAGGAACTTCTTCACCCAAAGAGTTGTGAATCTGTGGAATTCCCTGCCCAGTGAAGCGGTTGAAGCTACCTCGCTGAATGTTTTTAAGGCAAGGCTAGATAAATTTTTGAACAGTAAAGGAATTAAGGGTTATGGTAAGTGGGCGGGTAAGTGGAGCTGAGTCTCAAAAAGATCAGCCATGATCTTATTAAATGGCAGGACAGGCTCGAGGGGCCAGATGGCCTACTCCTGCTCCTGCTCCTAATTCTTATGTTCTTTCCCAGCAATTTCTGTTTTTGTTGCAGGAAAGTGGAGTTGGGATTTATCAGAAACAAACATGGGATTCAGGGTGAGCTTGCCAACTGGATACAAAATTGGCTTTACAGCATGAGACAGAGGGTGGTGGTGGAGAGCTGTTTTTTGGACTGGAGGCCTGTGACCAACAGTGTTCTACAGGAATCGGTACTGGTTCCACTTTTTCTTGTCATTTGGATGGAAATATAGGAGGCATAGTTTGCAGATGACACCATATCTGGTGGTGTTGTGGATAGTGAAGAAGGTTATCTAAGATTACAAAGAAATCTTGATAATTGGGTCAATGGGCTGAGGAGTGGCAGATGGAGTTTAATTAGGATAAATATGAGGTATTGCATTTTGATAATACAAACAAGGACAGGACTAATATAATTAATGATAGAGTCCTGGGTAGTGTTGCAGCACAGAGATGTAGGAATTCAGCTACATAATTCTTTGAAATTTGCATCACAGGTAGACAGGGTGATTATGAAGGTGTTTAGCACAGTTGCCTTCATTGCTCAAACCTTTGAGTATAGGAGTTGGGACATTATGTTGAGGTCATACAGGATGTTGGTGAGGCCTCTTCCAGCATACTGTGTTCAGTTCTGGCTACCCTGTTTTAGGAAGCATATTATTAAACCAGAGAGGGTTCAGAAAAGATTTGCCAGGAATGGAGGATTTGAGATATAAAAATATACTGGAAAGGTTGGGACTTTTTTTTTTAAACTGGAGCATAGGAGGTTGAGGAGTGACCTTATTGAGGTTTATAAAATCATAACAGGCATAGATAAGGTGAATGACAAGGGTCTTTTCCCTGGGGTGCGGAATTAAAGGGCATATTTTTAAGGTGAGAGGAGTAAGATTTTAAAGACATGAGGGGCAACGTTTTTACACAGACTGGTTTGTGTATGGAATAAACTGCAGAGAAAGTGGTGGATGAATTACAGTTACAATGTCTAAAATGTTAAAAAGCCATTTGGATAAGTTCATGAATAGGAAAGGTTTGGAGGGATATAGGCCAAGAGCAGACTGGTGGGACTAGTTTAGTCCGGGAACATGATTGGCATGGGCTGGTTGGGCTGAAGGGTCTGTTTCCATGCTATATGACTCCATGATTCTAAAAGCAGAAATTGCTGGAAAACTCAGCAGGTCTGGCAACATCTGTGGAGAGAAAGCAGAATTAACATTTTGGCAATGACCCTTCTTCATTATCAGCTTTGATGTCATTGAATGGCACAGCAAACTTGATGGGCTGAAAGTCTTATGGTTTCACTTTCTTACATGATAAAGCAAACTTTTCTCACTTTTGAAAATAACAAATATATTGCTTCTACCCTATGTACTCTTTGCTGATGTACAGACTGCGATACCTCCACATTATTCCTAAAAATGCCCTAAATTTTTATATTGTTGCATTTTAATGCTAGTATTCATTTTTAACAAATTATATATACATGAATATTGAAAGTCTTGTAGCACTGTGGGTAGCATCTCTGCCACTGAACAAGAATCTCCAGGTTCGAGACCCTTTCAGGATGGCCAAGGAAGGTATGATCATTATGCAGCCAAACAGGTTGCGTATGAATCTGTAAATTATCCCAATAAATGCCAATGCCAGATGATAAAAACAGCAGAGATCTCTGTAGAGCCACAGGATGGAAAGAAAACTGAAGCTTCTACCATGGCCAGTCATAGCTCTGCACTACAAGAAGCACAGAATAATAGTACATACTGTTAGCACTGTGTGTCAGTGGTGGAGGAGGTGAATGCTTAAGGTGGTCAATCAAGTATCTGTTGACTGGGCTGCTTGATCCTGGATGATCAGGAAACAGAATGGTTCCAGTGGAAAAGGAACGTATTCGTTCTGTCGTGTCTGTGCCAGCTCTCTGAACATTGTTCTAGTGCCATTCCCCCACCTTCTCCCTGTAACCCTGAAAATCCTCCTCCTTCAGATAATAATCCAATTTCCTTTTTGAATGGAAGATGCTGGAGATCTAAAATAAAAGGCATGTTGGAAAAACTCAGGAGATTCAGCAGCATTTGTGGAGTGAGAAACCAAGTTAATGTTTCAAGTCCTTTCTTTGGAACTGAAGAAACATAAAAATGTGATGGTTTTTATGCTGTTGACAAAAGTGGTGGGGTAAGTGGAACAGAAGGGTAGATCAGAGATAGATTTGAGGCGGGGAGTGATTAAATATCAAAAATGTCACAGACAAAAGGCAGAGGTCTGGTAACAGTTGCAATGAC